ACATTGCGATTGCTGTGATAGAGATGCATGGGGACATCTGAGGCTCTTCATTGGACATGACAACAACAACAATACAGTGTACACACCCAAGATAGAGAACATTGCGACTGCTGTGATTGATATGTATGGGGACATCTGAGGCTCTTCATTGAACACGACAACAACTTATGTTTTATTGCTGCGTGGAATATCGGGTTTATCGTTGTGTTATCAACAGTGATTAGTATTCTTGTAGTTGACTATTATAGTGTCAGAATTCTGAAGTCAGTCAAAATGGAATCCACATAGAACACATGGCCTCTAGATATGCCTATTGATTGTTAGTTTGTCTTTCTAGTACTACTTAGCACCTCCGTTCACATGGCGCCTATAGATAATGTTGAAAAACAAACGTCTGAATAACATGGAAATTTATTTGGCTATAAAAAAACCCCTCATTTAGATGAAAGAACAAAGAGAAAACGATAGAAACATATCGAATCTCTGAAAATATATTAATCCATTGAAAACATTATAAACGTAAAAAAAAATAGTACAAATGTGATATTGTACTGAGATAATGCGCAAAAATTATGAAAAAGGCATCTCCTTTTCGTGCAACTGAAAGTTACTGATGGCTTGTGCCATCTATCGGAATAAATATCAACTATTCTCGTTGATTTTTAATTATTCCAGAATTGGCCAAATAACCATTATTGATTGATCAAGAAAAGCTAACCACGGACGCGTTTCGGGCTGTTGGCCCTCATCAACGTGGTGCAAGCTGTACCTCAACGACCAAAAAACGTTTTTCATAATTTATGCATCTTATCCCAGTACAATATCACATTTGTACTATTTTTCACACTGTGTCGCGGTCTCATGCAATTCTGGCCTTAACTACCCGTTTCATGATTTTTAAGGATACATGAATGATCATTTTTTTGGTCGTTGAAGTACAGCTTGCACTACGCTGATGAGGGCCAACAGCCCGAAACGCGTCCGTGGTTAGCTTTTCTTGATCAATCAATAATGGTTATTTGGCCAATTCTGGAATAATTAAAAATCAACGAGAATAGTTGATATTTATTCCGATAGATGGCGCAAGCCATCAGGAAACTTTCAGTTGCACGATAAGGAGATGTCATTTTCATAATATTATAAACATTCTATTATTATGTATATAATATTTCGATACGAATGTGATTAATAAAAGATATGCACAGAATAATATCGATCCATTCCATTCAACAATGCACTGTTAGTATCCTCTTCAAAGCAAGAAGTAAAGTTGAGGTAGATTATTTCATGTTGTAAATCATTTTAATGGCATCTCTGCATCTCAATCAGTAGACCGCTGCTGGAGAGATAACCAAGTCTAAAATAGCACCACGTGAAAAATTAAACAATCAATTCCTCTCCAATATTGACGTCAAATGAAGCGCGGAGTTTAAAAAATGATTCCCGCAACTCCTTTCCTGCGCACAGTAATCCCCCGTTAAAAAATCCAAGATGGAGAATTCATCTCGAAGATCTAATTGAGCGTGTGACGGACAAAAACCAGGTTCCCACTTGGGCCTGATGTAAATCCCCGGCCATGTGATAAATGCTATTGGACCGCTAAATCCCCAGCTTGAATGGATTGGCTCTTCCATGGACCCCACTCTCATTTCCTAATTAGTCCAGGCTACCACGCGACCTGGATTTCTGGGAACAAAAAGTCCATTGTATAATGAAATACTTCATCCTGAATGGATAGAACAGAGTGCTCTTGACTTAGCTTTGAATCATCAAAAGCTTTTTGTATCTATTTGATAAATCACTTGTTGAGACAAATTAATGATGTCCCACTACCACGGGCGCAAATACTAATTATTAAAGCATAAATTGATGACAACCATATATATTTGCGCATACTATATATTACCCTGAATTTACATTAGTTAATACAATTTCTTTGAGTCCATTAATTTATTGTGAGAAGGTTTGGAATGATATTTTTTATAGAATATTTTTTCCTGTTAATTTGTTTATCTTCACAAAACAGGATTCACCTCCACATAGACTTAAAAAAAGATGAATTATTGGAATTTTCAGAGTTTTACGTAATGGTTTAAACTATATTAGGCTGGAATGGCTGAAAACAGGATTCTAAATTCTGGAGCATAATAAAAGGTATTTCCTTCAAACTTCGTAATGAATTACGATTTTGAAACTTGAATGAAACAAGGCCCCTATCTATGATTCTCTCTCTCTCTCTCTAAATACACTTATCCCCCGATTTACGCGGTACTTGTTTAACACGTTTTCGCTTTTACACGGTTTTCCAAATAATTTATTTTTTTATCGCACTATACTAAATGCTACTGTGATTGAACACATGCGCTGTGTACACATCCCACGAGGAATCCCGAGCTTATGTGCTGACTTGCTGCACACGCACACTGTGTCTGTATTTCTTCGCATAAAAATTTCGCGAAAATTTTTTAATTTTCGATTTACACGTTTTTCTCAGGAACGTATCTACCGTGTAAATCGAGGGATAGGTGTATATCAAAATATTTCTTATTTTGAATGATAAGTTGATCATATTTTACTAAAGTTTTTTTCACATCATTTTACCAAACAGGTTTATATACAAATAAATTAGCCAATTATTAGAAGCTTGTGGAAATCACATGGTGATCACATTACTCATAAGATGCTATTGTCCTTCTTTTCTATTAATGGCTAGTGAGCAGAACTGATTGAAGTAACTGGAGGTATTATGGAAGGATTTACTGCAATTTGGATACCTGGATCCGCACGGATTATACCTGTCCACTCAATATTCATCAGAAGTCGCCAAGTTGGGAGTGAAATTCTCCAAGATGTCGAACTACTCGAAAAGACCAACTACAAAGACACCTATCAGTGTCTCCTCAACAAGTTATTAGTTGGTGACAAACCATAAATTGATTATTGTCAATATTTCAATCCTCTCAGATCTTCTTTTCCATGGCTAGTCTTTTGATATAGAAAATCTTGGGGTCTTCTCCCAAGTTTGTCCATGAATTCCATTTTTTGCCATCCTCTTCTTACACTTCCGTCTTTACATAGATCCTTGAAGTAATACAGCTAACCATTTTGAGTGTCGGACAAAATAGCAAAACGTGTTTCTTCTCAATCCTTTCCAGTAGGTCATTTCGGATGTTAAAAGAAAATCTCAATTTCACTGTATGTTCCTGTCTCTTTCTAACTCATTTCTAGGCCACATGGCAGATTATATTGGACTCCTGCGCTAATATAGAAAGGTCATTGACCTTTTAACATCTTTATATATATATTGTTACGGAATAATCTGTGGTGGGCTACTCGGTTTATCATCATTAGTCACGTGACACTAAGTCAGCATTTTATTTGTAAATACACCTATCCCCCGATTTACACGGTACTTGTTTTACACGTTTTCGCTTTTACACGGTTTTCCAAATAGGTTTTTGTTTTTTGTTTTTATCGCACTATACTAAAATGCGATATTCTACTCTATACTACCTATGTTGAAAAGAATATTGGGAGGCTCTGATTCATGAGGGGGCGAACACCTATTCAGATTTGACAGTTTAATATACACCTATCCCTCGATTTACAAGTTTTTCTCAGGAACGTATCTACCGTATAAATCGGGGGATAGGTGTATTTTGTTTATATATCTCTCAGGTTCTTTTTATGATTGTAAATAATTGTAAATACTTTTCTTATTGAAATAAATGTTTTATGATGACTCGTTCTGGCCTGTCTTATAATCTTGATATGAATCCATCGAATACTTACATGAAGCCAACACCCCAGGACGATGCAACAATATATATATATATTAAACATACTTCCAGATCTTTAAAAATATGAGGGCAAAATATATTTGATTTTTGCCTCACGGACACTCCTAGTCGTTATTTAAATGGTATATTTCAGCCAAATGGGATCATTTTTAAGGACGTTTAGAGCTGTATATCGTTCTGTTCTGATTACATTTCATGCTTGATGAAAAACTTTCTCCGAAACGTCGTAGAAAAGAAAGGATTTTATCTGGCCGTGGTATCGTTCGAATAACAACATTTTTACATTTTCTTTACTCTTTCTAATAGATATTTTTAGAGAAGCGGCAAATCCATACACTCTTTTGTCCCGCGATAAAAATGTTACATTACATACTCAAGCGGTGTCAACTTTCTGTACATCATTCAGGCTGAGTTATGCGCAAAAACAAGAAATGTTGTCAATGACAATTAGAATTGTTAGACATTGTTTGAATTTCATCTGCTAAACCATCTGAGCATCTACTCTATATTCAGTATCACCCCACATGATCATTCTATGAATTCATATCATATAGTTTTATATATTGTAATGGATTAATTTCTACAATTTTTATGAAGCTACTTAGAAAAAAAATACACCTATCCCCCGATTTACACGGTACTTGGTTTACACGTTTTCGCTTTTACACGGTTTTCCAAATACGTTTTTGTTGTTGTTGTTTTTATCGCACTATACTAATTGCTAATGTGATTGAACACATGCGCTGTGTACACATCTCACGAGGAATCCCGAGATTATGTGCTGACTACATATTTTAACCTGTCAATGCATTTTATTTTTATTTCTGTGTACACCTATCCTCCGATTTACACGTTTTTTTTCAGGAACGTATCTACCGTGTAAATCTGGGGATAGGTGTATATATAGACAAAGAACAAACCGTATAAAACATTAAATTAAATAAATGACTTTTTTGATCAATCCAAGAATTAGACTCATGTAAATAAAATAATAAATACTTGTCTACAATAATAATAATACAATATAATACACTGCGGCTTGTGATTGTAAAACAACACTTGAAGTTACACCGCATGAGTTTCTTTTCAATGAAAAATCTAAATTTATTTCAAGGTGAAATATTGACTATTTCTAACCTTTTTGGATAAGGTATGAAAGGATGAATTATGAAGAGTAATGATGAACGTAAATATAAAGGTGTCCAGGAATGGGAATCGAACCCACAATGTTCCGCTTACCGGGCAGATGCCATGTCCACTAGGCTACCCTGGACATTTTAATAATAATAATAGAATAATAAAAAAGGTGTTGGTATTAAAATAGCATATCCTGACCACATTCACATGATGTTTCAGATGATCTAATTTGTAAAAGAATCATACGCGTCTATAATAGTTTCGAATTTTCCTAACAGATGGCGCGCTAATGCATCATATATGCATTATATATATATATATATATCAAAAACAAAGAAGGCATCTCCTGACCACGAGCACATGTGCTTTTTAGATGGCAGAGCCCCATCTAGTGGAGCAAAAATAAACTAAACGTTTATTTAGCTTGCTCCGTGATATTTGGCCAACCCAATTTCTTGATAAATCAAGAAAAGCCATCCACGAACGCGTTTCGCGCTGTTGGCGCTAGTCAGCGTGGAGAAGGCTGTAACCACTGCGACCAAAAAGCACATGTGCTCGTGGTCAGGAGATGACTTCTTTGTTTTTGATATTAACACCTGACCCACTTATCTTTCATTTTTTTCTATTGTTTTTTCATATATATATAATTTCAGTTGCACGATAAGGAGATGCCTTTTTCTTAATTTATGCACCTTATCCCAGTACAATGTTATATTTGTGCTATTTTTTCACATTGTGTAGCGTCGTCACGCAATTCTGGCCTTAACTACCCGTTTCATGATTTTTCAGGATGCCTTAATGACCAAATTTTTTTGGTCGTTGAGGTACAGCTTGCACCACGCTGATGAGGGCCAACAGCCCGAAACGCGTCCGTGGTTAGCTTTTCTTGATTAATCAAGAATGGGTATTTGGCCAATTCTGGAATAATTAAAAATCAACGAGAATAGTTGATATTTATTCCGATAGATGGCGCCAGCCATCAGCAACTTTCAGTTGCACGATAAAGAGATGCCTTTTTCTTAATTTATGCACCTTATCCCAGTACAATGTTATATTTGTGCTATTTTTTCATATATATATATATATATAGTGTAAAACTATATAATAAAAATATAATAGTGATTCTATATTCAAAATTTAATGAGTAAACTGATAACAATGATAATTTATATCAAGTAGATTTGATTAGATTAGCAAGCTAAATCTAAATTAATTATAAAAATAAATAGTTGTATAGTTTTATAGTTTAGTTTTGTATTAAAATTATCTTTATTATTTTGATTATTTAAATGATTTTATAATTTGAATTTAAATAATCAAAATAATAAAGATAATTTTAATACAAAACTAAACTATAAAACTAAACAACTATATATATATGTTATATTTGTGCTATTTTTTCATATATATATATATATAGTGTAAAACTATATAATAAAAATATAATAGTGATTCTATATTCAAAATTTAATGAGTAAACTGATAACAATGATAATTTATATCAAGTAGATTTGATCAAGGGTCGCCTCTCCCGTCAAAATAGACGACTAAAACCAGACGCCATCTATTGACCATCGCCGCAACTAGCGGCCTCGGGTCGGTGACAAAGCCACAACACCAGTGACCTTAAAAAAAAAAAAGAATCTTACGCGTCTATAATACTCTCTCACGCAAAATATGTAGAAAAAAAAAATAATAATGGTGTTAATCTATAATATTATATATAATTATTAGCTGTATATATACTGAATGTAATATTTAAATCAAAGATACTGTAGGATCATTATTCACCACAGACACGGTTAGCCATTAAAAGTTATTTTTATTTCCAGTTCCAGTTCCAAATAACTTTATTAGGTGCCGTTCAAAAAGAACAACCTAGATCATCATATTTACAATATACTGAGGGGGGTGGTTATGTACAGGGGTTCATTTACAATTATAATTTATAATGATGTCGTTGGGTCCGGATTCTCAGGTCCTTGGGGATATTTTTCTTGAGAAGGTTTTTTCGGGCTTGTTTGATATTCAAGGTGGGTTTGTTTTTCCTTTTTTTCCACTTTTCGTCATTCTGGCTTAATTGATGGAGAATTTGTCTAGGTTTCAAATTTCTTATTTTCCTTTTTCCGCATTTGTAGTTTGTGGCTTCCTTAAAGGTGGGATTTTCTAATTTTTCGGATTTTTCGTAAAATTTAAATGATTGTCTAATGATGTAGTCATTGATGTTTTCGATATTTAGATCGTTCCTGAGGATTGTGTTCCGAACGAACCAGGGTGGAGACATGATTTTTCTGATCATTTTATTTTCAAATACTTCTAGCTTTTTAAGGATGGTCTTATGTGCTGTCATAAAAATTGGGTGGCCGTATATGAGTATTGGTCTTATTATTGAAGTGTAAATGGTTCTTTTGCAATGAAGGATAATTTGCTTTTTGGTCCTAGAAGTAGGGATAGTCGGTGTTGGGCAGCTTTCGCCAAATTAATTCTGTTTTCGATGTGTTTTTTGAAGGTTAGGTGCTCGTCTAGGGTCATCCCTAGGTATCGGATGTTCTCTTTCCATTTAATATTGTCTTCGAAGACAAAAAGTTCGTCTAAAGGTTTCTTAATTTTGTCTTTTTTTCTGGAAAAAATGATTGCTTCACTTTTTTGGGGGTTCATTGTGACTCGCCATTCCTTACACCAGAGCGTGGAAAAGATGCAGGCCTCTTGGAGTTTCATGTGGAGATTGTCGAAGTTATATGTTGAGGCTAAAATGGCGGTATCATCGGCAAATAGGTGTAAAGAGGTGTCTTCAATACAGGGGAAGTCGTCTATAAATATGTCAAATAAGGTTGGTCCTGTGACTGATCCTTGGGGGACCCCGGCAAGGATGTTCCTAGCTGTTGAAAGTTCATTTTTGACTCGTACCTTGAATGTTCTATTTGTTAAGAAGTTTTGCGTTATTTTTATGATGTCTCCGGGAAGGTGCTTTTTGCACATTTTGTAGAGAAGGGCTTCGTGCCAGACTTTATCGAATGCTTTGGCGATATCGAAGAATACGGCTCCTGTTATTTGGCCTAGGTCCATGGCTTTTCTTATTTTTTCAGTGACAACTACTAGCTGGTGCAATGTTGAGTGTTTGGCTTGGTAGCCAAATTGTTCAGGTCTGAGTGGATTCTTTTCTTCTAGGGATTTTCTGAGTCTTCTTAAAACAATTCTTTCGAATAGTTTTGAGATGGCAGGTAGCAGTGAGATGGGCCTGTAGCTTGTTGGTTCATGGATGGATTTTCCTTTTTTAAGTATGGGACAGATAATGGACGTTTTCCATCTGTCAGGGAAGTGGGCAAGCTGCAGTGAGGCGTTAAATATTTCGGTTATTGATGCTAGTATATGATTAGGGAGCAGTTTGAGAGCTTCATTAGGTAATTCGTCGATTCCGGGAGCTTTTTTATTTGGTAGATATTCAATAATCGCTTTTATTTCACCAATGTTTGTTGGTTCTAGTCCTGTTTCTTTATTTTTTTTCATGTATGAATTCACACGTTTGATGTATGTACGAGTAGGTTTGGAGTGGGATGTATAGGGATTGGGGGTGAACTGTTTTTCATAGTTGTTGGCAAATGATTCAGCTGCTTCTTCTGTGGTTAGTGTCTGCCCATTGTTTGTCTTCAGGGTTATTTCTTGTTTTTCAGAGTTGGATAACCGTTTGATGGCTTTCCATATGGTTTGGTCCGTGACTTTCAAGTTTTCGATAAAGTGGTCCCAGCTGGTGTTATCGTGCTCTCTTGTAAGTTTCTGTGATTCTCTCCGGGCCGTCATGTAGGCTGATTTATATCGGGGGTCGCAAGTATTTTTCATTTTTTTCCTTAGTCTGTTGGTGGATCGTATTTTTTCTTTGATGTGAGGTGGATATCTTCGTTCTAGTTCCGGGTCCTTATATTTTGTTGAATCTTTCAAATTTTGCACCATTTGTTCTTCAACGTGTGTAATGGCCTCGTCTATTTTTGAAGATGTATCTAGGATCAGTTCAGGAGGTTCAGCGATTTCCATTTTGTACTTGAATAGGGCCCAATCTGTAATTTTTATTTTTGTATTTGAGTAGGAGATTTTGAAATCCTGTAGCACAAGTAGTACTGGGAGATGATCAGAGGTTAGTTCGTGCAGGACTTTAGAGTATGCGCTTTGGGAGATGTTTTTGTGCACGGCGATATCTATGATGTCTGGAGGTGAGTCATGAGTAGGTTCGTCGGGGTAGCTCACATCTAGGTCCATAACGTTGATTGCGTTTTGGAGCCTTCTCCCGCTTGGGTTAGTGGTGGTGGAACCCCAGGCAGGATGTTTGCAGTTTAGGTCCCCTGCTATGATGGTCGGTGTGTCTGTTGAAAAAATGTTATAGATATCGGTTTGATCTAGATAGGTGTTTGGTGGTTTGTAGCACGAATACAGGTTCATATTTAACCCGTTTTTGTTTTTGATTGAAATTCCTGTTGTTTCCAGGCTTGAGGTGGTGGCATGAATAGGTGCATGGCTGTACTTCTTGTGGATGAAAATGGCAGTTCCACCACCTTGTCCGGTTAGTCTGTCGTTGCGGAGGGTGATGAAGTTTTGAATCCTCATTTTATGGCACGGCTTAAGCCAGGTTTCTGACACTAGTGCGATGTCGATGTCGTGGTCGTTCAGGAATTCTGAGAATTGTTGTTTTTTGTTTCGGAGACTGCACGCGTTCCAGTGAACGATTCGAAGGCTATTTTTATACATATTTTTGTTATTCATTTACATCTAAAGGTGTCTACAACGTTCTTCATGATGTTTTCTATTATTGCGGGGTCACTGAGAGCCTTTTATTTTTATTTCCAAAAGTCTCTCGACTTATTTAGGCATACAAATTTTAGTTAAATGGTATTCTAACAAAAAAGAAATATAACATATTTTTTACAATAAAATATAAAATAATTTTAAAAAGAATAATTAAATATTTACATTTACAAAATGTAACTTTTATAAAACACAAAGTTTAACACAGCGCCATCTAGGTGTGACAATTGGAATTATTTAACCCTACAATACAATTCTTTCGTTAGCCTTGTAGAATGATAGTTGTGTACGCGTGCTCATATGTTTTAGCGAAAAACACAAACATTCTCGATAAAGAAAAGC